ACTCAAGGGTCTTAGAGGCTTAAAAATGGTAAATGATAAGATTCCATGGTCCATGAAACTTCAAATGCTAATGACATTTTCATCCCCAGCCTCCCTCCTGGTCCCAAAGGACACCCCCCTGCCATCCATAGCCCGGACACTTGTTCCAGGCCCGGCTCTGGTGCGGACCAAGGGATGAGCCAGTGTGGGTGGGCAGGGACCACGCTGGGGGGTGGAGGCCGGGACTGGGCCAGGCTGGCTGGTGAGCAAGCAGCGGTGACAAACGGGCTGTGCGGGGGCTGAGGGGCGGGGGGCGGACCGCGGCTGATTTATCTGGGTTATTTATGCTGCGGACGAGGCAGGAGAAACGGTTAATGAGAGTCCCGGAGAAGGGGGGTGGGGAGCCCCGGACGTGATCTGAAGCGACTTAGGAGGGTTAGTGTCCCACCACCAGCCCTTCCCCCACTGCCCCCTGCACCCCAGGCCCCATCCTAGGGCCAGCCCAGACCCCACTCCTGTGGCACCCCCAACCCCCTTTGGGATGCCCACGCTGAGAGAGTGGGTCACTAGGGACTGAAGGAGACCAGGTCCAGGATTGAAGGGCGGCTGGAGGAACTGGGGAGGGGGCCAGGAAAGGGAGGGCAGGGAAAGAAGAAAGATAAATCTTGGCTGGATAGAAACTGACCAAGTCTGTGGGGCCTTTAGGGTAGGGGTGGTGGGGGGAGGAGGCCAGTGTAGCAGTGGGTGGGCAGCTGGCAATGTCGGAGCTGAGGCTGGAGAGAGGGCATTGGGGTGCAGATCTGGTGTCAGCCAGGAGCCATCTCCCGGCCTGAGAGGCGATGGGGGGCGGGGTGCGGGCAGTGCAGGTCAGAGCGAAGAGAGAGCCAGGGAAGGAGCAGGGAGAAGATCCAGAAGAGGAGGGGGAGAGGGCTTTGCAGTAGCGAAAGCTGCTGGGAACAGATAAGGCGGCACAGCAGCAGGAGGGATTAAAGCGCTGAGGGGTGGGGGCGGGGGCGGGGGCGAGGCAGGGAGGAGAGGGTTGAGGGCAAGACATCAGGACCAAGGAGATGATGGGAGAAACGAGGGCTGCCAAAAGGGCAGGATTTAGTCAGGAACCGAGAGGCAATCATCACCTAGGAACGAGGGGGGATAGACGGGACTCCAGCGCATCTCCTGCGGAGGGTGGTCTTCTCGACCACTGGTGAGCCCCACACCCTGCACCTGTCAGAGGCAGCAGAGCTAAGCAGAAGGGGCCGTTGCTGAGGGCAGGGTGCTGGTAGATTGTTGGGTGGGAGTAAGTGGCAGAGGCCAGCCCTGGGAGCCGCTGAGCTCCTGGCAAGAGTGAGGGCACGCAACGCCTCCTAGAGGTGGTCAATGAAACCCAGGATCACGGGGAACATCGTAGGGTACCCAGCCAGCCTGTCCTTGGATGGAGACCTCATCATGCCCAGGGTCGCAAGGACCCGCATTTCAAGGGGTTTTCTTTGTGGGGAGAGGCGTGGGCATGGAGGGAGGCAGGTAGCTTCTCCAGGCTGGCGCCCTGGACTGGAAGCCCCTCGCCATCTCCAGACCTCCTGTTCCCCAAGCCTCCCAGACGTGTGCACTTGGGGAGGGTGAGACCCCTGCTCCTTCCAGACGAGAGTCTGCAGCCATTCAGAGGTGGTGGAGGTGACGGAGGGGAGCCTGGAGGGAAGGAAGAGGAGGAGTAGAGGGGGCCGGGGGTGGTGGCTGGGGCAGAGTAATTGCATGTTTGTCAGTTCTGTCTGCACTCGAGGGAGCGAGGGAACGTGTGTGTGGTGGTGGGTAGAGCTTTGCCACTAGGAGTATGTCTGTTGGCAGAGGTGTCAGTGTGTCTGTCTCAGGGGTCTGGGCTCTCCTTGGCCTCCGCCCCCCTTTGTGTTTTGGGGATGGTGGCTCTGGGCACACCCAGCTGTGCTCCGTGCTGATGCGGCAGATGTGGCGGGCCCCAGCTGTGTCTGTTTCCCGGAGAGGAGGAGGGGATGCAATCTGCTCCCCCGATAATGGCTGCTAAGTGCTGGGGGAGGAGATGGAGATGGGGGTGGGACTGGGGCCCAGGGCAATCCCACCAAAGGGGCAGGAAGGGGATGAGGGCTGGTCCCCGCCCACCCTGTCCGGGCCAGCCTCCTGGCAAGCTGTGTTCTTGGCGTGGCCTCTCCCCTGGTAGGTTCTGGAAGCCCATCCAAATCTCCCCGTCCCAGCTCTCCTCTCCAGCGCCCCATCCAGCTTGGTGCCAGAGACCCACCCCTCTCCCCGGCCCCCAGCTCGCTCCCCCTCGCTGATTTTACAGAATAATCTTTTTATGGAAACGGAGAAAAGCACTAATGGCAGGAGCGCACCCCTCCCCCGCATCCCTCCCCTCCTCATCCCCCACTTCCCACCCCAGTTCCCTCAGTTCTCCCTTCTCAACCCCTCCAGGGGGCCAGCACCCTTACAGGGAGGTCCCAGAGGGGACTGAGAAGGGGGCTCCCTGCTCTCCCCCCTCCAGAGGCAGGGGGCTCCCACAGCCTGGGCCCTGAGGGGTGCCCTCAGAGCTGGATGGGGCTCTACGCCCCCTTTCTTAGTCCCCCCTCTACCTGAGCACAAACACACAACAGTGGCTCCATCAGCCTGGGGGGCATGTTACAGAGACCTCCGCTTCACCAGCCCCCGCCCACTTTGAACACTGACCCTTTCCCCTTCCAGTGCCTCCCCACCCAGTCCCCACCCCCACTGGGCATAGGAGGGGGGGTCCTGGGGGCCAGGGCCTGACACAGACTTATTGGATTTCACGGTGTTTTGCTGAGAAAATAATTAAATTATCATATTTATGATGGAGCTGCCATGGCCTCTGCCAACCATTCAGAACAGAAGGGTCAGGACTGGGGGGAGGAAAGAGAAGGGACCCGATCCCTTCCTCAGGGAGTTGACCCCAGCCCCAGAGTAGGCACCTGCAGCCTCCTCCCACGCCCAGCAGAGGTGATGGCAGGTCTGGGCTGCAGGAAACAGGAAGGGGCCGAGTCAAGGCAGGTTAGAAGCCACGCCCACTAGAACCCTGGGTCATCTCCCAGGCGCTCTCACCCAGCCTGCAGGACCTGAGGGCCTGGGAGGTCACTTCCAGCCCAATCCCCACGTCACCCTCAGCCCAGCTGCTGAACAAGCTCATCTTCCTAACCGCCTGGCGATGAAATCCTGGGCTCTGTCCCAGGCCCTGGTGCTGATAACAAGGCCCAGCACCCTGCAGCCTGCTGCCAGGACCCCCTCCTCCCTCCCACCCACGCCCTGCCCCCCCATTCTCTTCGGGTAATTAGATTCCTCTCAATTAGCAGATTACGATCATTACCAGCTCATCTGGCAACTAAGCTCCGCACCCACAGCTGGGGAAAGGGGGGGCACCAAGAGGGGCACGCGGGGGTCATGGGCAAACATGAGCGGTGCTGGGTTTCTCTGGGGTTTCAGGAATGTGGAGTGGAGGGCTGGGTCCTCCCAGAGACAAAGCCAGGATGGTGGGAGGTGGCAGGTGTCCTCCTCCCCCGAACAGCGCTGCCTACGGAGGGAGAGGTACCAGCTAGGCCCACCGTGCCTGCCAGGGGAGTAGAAGACAGACACCAAGCTCTGGTGGGCGAGGGGGAAACCACCACTCTGCCAAATGCTGGGCCAGGAGCGGGTGGAGCTGGCAAAGCAGAAAACAGGCCGGGGCGAGGCAGAAACTGAAGACGGGGGATGTCTGTGATCCAATCTCAGACGTGTGGCTCCTGGTCCCTGTGTCCGCCGCCCCTACCCCACTGCCCGACTGAAATCCTTTACCCTTCCCTTGGAAAGTCCTCCACTCCCAGGCCTGAGCCAAACCCAGTGAAGAGGAACAGGGAGGCGGGCAGGCAGGCAGCATCAGGGTAGGGGTGAAGGCGGGGCCGGCAGGCTGGGAGCCTGGAGGGCCTTTCTCTGAGCAGCAGTGCTGAGGCTGAGGCAGTGGGAGGGGGAGATTTACCAGGGCTCCAGATTCATTATTCATGAGCCCGCAGCAATGACTCCAATTTAAATGCTAATGTGGGGGGGCCTGACTCAGCTGCCCCCCTTCCACCCCCACACCAGTCCAGGCACAAGCCGAGTCCTCACTGGCTCCAAGGTTCATGGGGTTTATTAGGGAGCAACAGAGAGGGAGGCCGAGTCCTCCACCCACCCACCCACGCTGTTCCCAGTGTGTGAAGATTCTGCCTGGCTTCCCCAGGTCCATTCTGGACAGAGGCTGGAGGGGTAGGAGTTGGGGGGCCTTCTGGCGGCCCCCTTCAGAGGATGATCTGGTTGGTAAAGCTTCGGCTCAGCTCCTTGTGTGGCAGAACAATCGAGTTCAGGATGAGCACCTCAGCAGGGATCCGGACGCGGCAGCCTGCAGTGTGGACCAGGGCACCAGGAGGAGGCCATGGGGAGAGGAAACCAGGGGCAGGGAGCTGGGGGGGGCACTGCCATGAGGGGGGATCCCTCCCTGCCCATCTGTGCCCTGGCCCCATGCCCCCAGTGACTCACACAGGGCCTGGCACACAGCAGGCACTTGGTAAATGTTTGCTAAAGGAAAATACACACACACACACACCCTCACACAAGCACAAATTCTCCCCATAGAGCCCACCTATCACCTGTGGTGGTTTCTCACGGCCCCGAGTCCCCTGGGAAGTCATACCCAGGATGGTGATGGCAGGCAGCAGCTTCCCATCCTTGAAGAGGCTCTCACTGTCCATGTGGGCCCGGGGGTCGTTGGGATTGGGGTCATTGGGGGTACCCTCCACGCGGGCCCAGCGCCCCACAGTGCTCCCCCAGCCCACAATGCTGTGCAGCACACACGTGTGCTCCTGCCAAACAGGACAGTGTGAAGTGAGGGGGCAGAGCCCGTGGGGTACCCCCTCTCCCCAGCTTCTTGGGGCACATGCTGGGGTGCCTACCTGCAACGTGGCTCCATGGAGGACAATGCTCTCTCGGAGCCGCACGCCCTCGCCCACGGTCACCCCCTCCCCAATGGAGACGTTGGGGCCCAGCTGTGGAGAGGAACATATATCATAAGCCCTGGGGGGGCTTGGAGGACCCGCTCATAAGGGAGAGGGAACCTACTTGAGGCCATGTGACAGGCTGTGACAAAACAAACATAAGAGGCCTGTACTACAAGCTCTGGAGATACCCGCCCTGCCCCACCCACCTTCCTCCCTGGGCTGGGCACTGCTTACCACAGCTGATGGGGCCACCTTAGCCGTTGGGTGGATATAAACATTTCCTAGAAGCAGAAGAGAGGACCTGGAGGCAAATGCCCCAAACCATATCTGGTTCAGGGAGGGCAGGGATTCAGATTCACCTCTGGGTCTGAGGTCCAGAGTCAAAGCTCTG